AGGTCCTGTTAATGGCCAACAGCCCCCAATCACCACATGTTTTTCCTCCTGGAGGCAATTTTAAGAGACTCATGCACACAGATCCATTTTAGGAAAGGCCTTGTTGTTGAGGCAGAACCATTGTGACCTGTGAATCCTATGATTCCACTATGAATTGAAGTTTGGGACAGGGGTCTGGAGAAAAGTGGCTTATGTTTTATGGCCCTTTAATAAGGAGTGATATAAGAAGGGAAGCTAAGATTACTGAACCAAGAACATTTAAAAGAATTGTAACTCCAACCAGTCCATGACTGCCAACACCCTTTTATCTTGCTTATCTTTTTATCTTATCTTTCACCACTTATGAGCTAATCACATGGTAAGGAATGAAGTGGTGGTTTAGTGGAAGAAACATTTGTTGTCTTAGAACTGATTTCCCAGTAGATGTGTCAGAACCTGAAAAACATTCTAGATGTGTTCTTGACAGAATGGATGCACGCATGTATCATATATAAAATTACAACCTGTATTTCCAGTGTAAAATTGACAAATGCCGACAACAAGAATGGAGCATTCATAAGTCTGTGTGAGATCATTTTGTATTCATAGTGGTACTAAACGTGGTCTTTGACTTAGATTAGATTATATGCTTGACATATACCTGTATATAATCTCATGAAAACACTTTGAATTACAAAATTACTGTTTGGTTGTAGAAACTAAAAGAAAGGGTAGGATTACTTAATTGTGATGGCATTAAGGTCACAATAATCAATAACACACTTTCAAAAAACCACTATCTTTCACTTGTATGGAAGTGCACAGGAAAATCTCAAAGGAAAAAAATGTGAATTTTGTCCTGTGCTAAGAAATTTGATATAAACTTGATAATCTATGCAACACGAATTATCCAAAAATAACATTTTTAAGTGCAGGGTTTCTGTTGTTGTTGTTGTTGTTGTTGTTGTCCAAATTCATTTCATTTCATTTAGAAATCACAAAAACACACACATTGAAAGTTAGGACTCGGCAATGGCGAACTGATACACATTTCTCTTTGCTAAGTAAATAGTAGTTCATAATTCAAACAAAAACAGCATTTTATTAGCAAGTTTAGCTATATTTATACAGTTGATACAGTCACCAGAATCATGTGGGCCATTTAGAAAATCAACCATAACCTCAACATTTAGCAAGAATAATAGGGTGTAATCAGGCCAAGCAGACATGCCCACATTATACATGACAACCTGTCCAACCACTTCCTCTCAGTGAGCACAAATACACACATGGATTAGCGCAACCAGGAAAACACAGGTTTCTACTATCAAAGCCACTCTATTGAAAATCCTTCATCCACTTAACTCTGGCATGGTTGCTCTTATTCAAACATGAGTATCTAAATAAATATCAGCCAGCTGGAACAGGAAATAATGGCCTCCTTTGCAGAGTTAGCATGTGTAACCTCAGCTAAGATCGATGGTTTCTGAATTTTCTGCCATCACAGGAATGTGTTGCTCTGAGACAGCCAACACATCAGATGAAGACGAGCCAAACACAGTGTGTAGGTGTGTTATCGTTTGCCAGCCAGGGATCAGTACCAGACTATATCTCAGAATTTGAAGAATTTTAAAAGAAAATTTTAAAAAATAACTTTGACACAAGCACATTTTATTTTTATTTGAATGAGAGTTAAATGAAGTTATTGTAGCTTTATTATGAGGTAGATTAGAAATTAGCATAATATTAGCTATAAAGTTAAAATAGCCAATATTACTGTGAGGTATAATGTTAGTGTGACATGAGGATAATATTAGAATAAAGTTAATACAATATTAGCATACAAATAACATGAGGTTAGTATGATTTTGATCAAGATTAAGCACAAAGCTACAATTAGTGTATTGTTAGCATAAAGTAGCATGTGATGAGTGTAATGATGTAAAGTTAATGAATAAAGTAGCATAATATTAGAATGAGGCTAGTGTCCTGTAAGTGTTACTGTAAGGTAATTATAATGTTAGCATAACATCTGAGGCTAGAAGCTGAGATTTAATTCTAGAGGTTTAAGGTTTGAGGTTAATGATACATTTGTGTGAGGATAATAGGAGCTTGATATTGGAATAACAAAGTTAGTGGAATGTTCTTGTGTACATCTCATGCATGAGTAGCATATTTTCTGATTTTTTAGCACAGTAGGAATGTCTTGTTTGTAGAGACCACTCACTGAGTGAAGGGTGTGTTATACGTAGTTGTGCAGACATGGTTCAGTACCAGGCCATATCTCAGAATTCTGAGTAGAAGCAGCTGGCACTTTACAAACACAGCAGGAAAATACATTCTAAAGATACCTGACCTTCTGAAAGCCCAGAGGTGGTTCAGTTGAAAGTCAAGAATTTTTTTAAAGTGTGCTAATAGTCTTTGTTAATTATCCTTTAGAAATGACCCAAATAGTGTTTTTTGGGCAACTCAACAAGATTGCACTGTCAGTAAACACTAAAATGCTAACATGAACACAATGTTAGCAATTAAATTAAAAGTGTGTGAGAGGAGGAAAATGTTCACAGGAAGAACTGCTGATTGATGGAAAGAGATATGGAAATATTCCAGATTCATATTCTTAATAATATTCCACAGTGAATATTCCTCACTTGTAGGCTTGTGTTTAGTTATCATGTCATCATACTACATCCAGGTTGGTGCTTTCACTTAGCAATGTTGGTCATAAACTGCAGAAATATTCACTGAAAATAAATGCAATTGAGGGAGGATCGTGCAAAAATTGGGAAGTCTGCCAGAAGAAAGGGTGGAGAATCTATTCAATGTAATAAATGTTGGACAATAAGATGCAGCTGGTTTTGCGTGCTGCAAAATTTTGTCCGCTCCCACCGATAGGTGTAAATAAGTACCATGCGTGTTGCTCAGCGTTTCAATTGTAAGTTTCAATATGAATGGTAAGCTTATAATTGCCATAAGCTGGCAATTATAAATCCAATGTCCCCGACATTCCTTCAGTGTGTTTCAATCCTACATTTTACAATATTACCTGAAGTAGTTAATTACAAAAGTGAAAACGTTTGTTCACCACTCACTGAAATTTGTGTGAAAAATCTTGAAATTTAGTCACCATGCATGTGGTAACACAAAGCATTCTTCTCTCGCTTATACACATTACTTTGAGGGAGGAGATCACAAAAAGTTGGCACAAAAAGGGTGGAGAAACGGGAAGTGAGTGTAACATCAGTCCACTGAGGCGAGTGTAGTGAAGAACCCAAGTGCAGCTTTTATTTAACAAAGTGAACTCCAAAAAATACAAATAAAAGACTTGCCTTGACTTGAATAGACTTGACTTGGCATGAACAAACTAGACACGAACAAACTGCAGGTTACAACATCAATATATGACAAAAGACAATGGCTACATGAGGGCTATATATACACCAAACAATCAAGGTAACATGACACAATCCAACCGGTGAGGAACAAGACACAAAAGACAAGGGCAACACATGACAAGATAGGAACCATGACTAAACTCCAAAATAAAAGACATGAACAACGAACAAGAAAAAAAAAACCCAAACCCCATGTTACATATCCCCCCCTCTAAGGGCGGCTCCAGACACACCAACAAAGCCCAAACCTAACAAGTCCAGGAGGGTGGTAGAGTGAAGGTGGAACAGGGGGAGGGATGGCGGGCCAGGCCCGTGAAGGGGAACAGGATCTGGATGATGACATGGACCGTGGAACAGTGGAGGGCCAGGGCCATGGAGCAGTGACAGACCATGAAACAGTGGAGGACCCGGGGACCACCAGGTCAGATCCAGAGAAGCATGGAGCCATGGCGGAGCAGAAGGGTCCGAAGATCCCCACGGCGGAGCAGACGACCACCACAGCAGAGCACAGGAGAGCAACGATCCCCACGGCGGAGCAGACGACCACCACAGCAGAGCAGAGGAGAGCAAAGATCCCCACGGCAGAGCAGATGACCACCACAGCAGAGCAGATGTCCACCAACGTAGAGGTAACGAGGCAGGTGCCCACCAAGGCGGATCAGGCAGGACTGGCACCGAGAGGTTAATAATGGCCTCTGCGGTCGTGACAGGGCAGGCGAGGAGCTCGGAGGCGGACGCCGCCGCCTCGGGAGGTTCAGCAGTGGACGCCGCCGCCTCTGGGGCAGACTCGTGGACAGGGGAGGCCTCTGGGGCAGACTCGTGGACAGGGGAGGCCTCTGGGGCAGACTCGTGGACAGGGGAGGCCTCTGGGGCAGAGGTGGCTCCATCACACTGGCAATCAGTCTCATCAGTCCTGGCCCAAGCTCCGCATCCGCCGGAGCTTGGGTACTATACCCCCCCCCAAAAAATTCTTAGGGGAATCTTGCATGTCATCCATGGCATGACGGGGTTCTGTCAAGGTGGCCATGGCATGACAAGGTTCTGGCATGGCAGCCATCTTGACTGTAAGCTCTGACATGGCAGTCATGATGAGTCGAGACTCAGGAGTAGCAGCCATGACATGACGAGGTTCTGACGTGACAGCCGTGGCATGGTGAGGCTTGTCGTGAGCAGGCCCTGGGGTGGCAGGCTTGTCGTGAGCAGGCCCTGGGGTGGCAGGCTTGTCGTGAGCAGGCCCTGGGGTGGCAGGCTTGTCGTGAGCAGCTCCTGACATGACGGTCGGGACCTGACAATGCTCCGGTGTGGTGGGTAGCGGAAAATAGCAGGGTTCCTCATCCGCAATCCCCACAGTGAACGAGGAACCACTCAACCGGAGTGCAAAGTCAATATATGTAGCCAGAGTCCAGTGAGGCGTGTGACATGGCATTAACAAAGAGATTTCTTCTGTGAGGCCAAAACGGAAAATGTTTTTGAGGGCCATGTCATTAAAATCCACTAAATGGCACAATCCACAAAAGTCCTCAACATAATCCTCTATGGCCCTGTCACCTTGACGAAGGCAGAGGAGGTGAGAAGCTGCTGGGTTCATGGTAGCGGTTGTGTATTCTGTAACATCAGTCCACTGAGGTGAGTGTAGTGAAGACGGTTAGGACGTTGGGCTACTGATCGGAAGGTCATGAGTTCGATCCCCAGCACTGCCAAGCTGCCACTGGTGGGCCCTTGAGCAAAGCCCTCACCTGCTCAGTTATATAAATAAGATAAATGTAAGTTGCTCTGGATAAGGGCATCTGCCAAATGTATAAATGTGAAGAACCCAAGGGCAGCTTTTATTTAACAAAGTGAACTCCAAAAATACAAATAAAGACTTGCCTTGACTTGAACAGACTTGACTTGGCATGAACAAACTAGACACGAACAAACTACAGGTTACAACATCAATACACAACAAATGTCAATGGATACATGAGGGTTATATATACCAAACAATCAAGGTAACATGACACAATCCAACCAGTGAGGAACAAGACACATGACTAAACCAACCAATCAGAACAAGACACATGAAACCAAGAAACCAATCAGAACATGACACAAAGACAAGGGTAACACATGACTAAACTCCAAAATAAAAGACATGAGAACAATGAACAAGAAACAAACAAAACCCAAACCCCACGTTACAGTGAGGCTGACTGCTTAAATTGTGTTCAATACAATAAACTTTTAATTAGCAGCGGCCAGTTTTGCACAAAATGTTGTCTGTCTACCAATGCCAAGTTGTAATTGTGTGTTGCCAGGTACATCATTACCCTGCACAATTGGATTATTTTTGAACTGCCAAAATTTCTGACAATCTATAATACTATAAGTTCATTTTATGACCTTGGTGAAAGAAGTATTAAGGGAAACTATGTGTTTTAATACTGCTTGTTAATTGGACTGCTTTTTTCATGCAAATCTGGCAACTCTGCTTGTAGCACAGATATAAATTATATAAATTGCCTCATGTCTAACAAAGAAATTCAACAACAGGACTTTTGTGATTTTTTTTTTTATGTTATAGAAGCAGTCGACTACAAAAATAACAGAGTACAGCTTAATTGCACAATTTAAAAAAAAATAATAATAAAAAAAAAAAAAACAGCATTAATTACCACATTAACTTGAACTTAACTAGCAATTTCTCCATAGTCCTGAAATTTCTGACAGCTCTGTGGATTTCCACCAGTGCTGGAAAGTGTTAATCAAATCCCACATCCACTGAGGGGAATATTGTTAATATTATACAAAAGGTATTCACAATATTCAGATCATTCATCTTAAGTAACCACTTTATGCTGAGAGTTGTTATGTCAGAGTTGTAGCAGATCCGGAGTCTATCCCGGGAATGTTGTGGGTGAGGGAACACACCCTGGATGTGTGTGTTCATCGTCCATCGCAGGGCACCATACATGCACATTTATTTCTCCCCCCAAAATATTTGAGATACTAAATTAAACATCTGAAATTAAACACTGGTGTCTGTTTATATGGTTCAGATCTACGTTTTTAAATGAATAAAATAATGAATCATAAATAAGATTGTGGGTATTTCCAGACTTTTGTTATCTACTTAATTAATAGTGTGCATGCAGTTAAGTCTCTGTCATTGCAATTCCTATTTAAATGAAATTATTACATTTCTAAACATCACTGCTAAAACATATTTCTATGGTGAGCATTCAAACCATAGCATTGTTGTACTGGACTGAGAAAAATGACTATTTGTGGTCTTTTAAATGAATACATGTAAAACATATTTCTCCTGTCAGCGTCACGCCATATGTGTTGCACTGATTCACGACTGACTGAATTGCGCTAAACATTTGATATCTCGTACTTTGGTATGATATCACCTGCAGAAATCCTGTTTCTCTGCTAACAAAAAAAAAAAAACACAGTCAGAAATGTCAAGCAGAAGCAGAGAGGTTTTGTTGTGTTGTGTAACATGAGCAGTGTGTGTTCAGTGTTTAGCTCTGGGTGTGGTGCGACAGCATTCTATACATCAGTACATTAAAGCTAACACACTGAAGACAAGGGATTAAAAGCGACCGCACAATAATCCTCAGTGCTATGATATCCAGTGCAGGGAATATGTACAAAATCTCCAGTGAAGGACAAAACATGATGATACAGTGAGGGGAAGTACGAACAAAAAAATATGTATTCATGTCGCATAAACAATATGTTTAATAAATAAAAGTAATAGGGGGAAAAAAATATTCAGACACCATTAACTTACATAAAAACATTAGTTTTAGATATAAATGAAGCAAAAAAAAAAAAACTTTTCTCAGGCAAATTGTACCTTGTGTCATTTTCAAAGACATTGCCATGTAGTAGCGAGTAGCAATCATGGTGAGGGTGAAGAAGCTTCCTAGAGTTCTCAGGGACCACATTATTAAGCAACACTCAAATGAAAAAAAGCTAAAGAGTCATATCAAAGACCTTAAACATCCCTGTCAGTACAATTGGTTTGATAATACGCAGGTAGAAGTTCGTGGAATCACAACTAATCTTAATGATAAAGAAGGTAAGACAGAAAGTCAGCAATCACACAAAAAAAGAGTTGCAGCACAGCCTGAAAGCAGCAGGAACAACATTTACATAGAAACCAATGAGCAATGAACTGCACCTCAATCATCTCCATTCCTACACCTCACACACAACTCCTCTGCTAAAAAAGTAGCACAGAAATGTGCGTCTAAAATTTACACCCAAGCATTTAGACAAATCAGAACTCTTTTGGAAAAAAAAAGACGAAACAAAAATTTAGAGCCCTGTTGCAGCTCGTCATGTTCAGAGAAAGAAGGGTTGCGTGTATGAACACCACACACACAGTGAATTACGGAAGTGGAACGATCATGATATGGGGCTGCTTCTCTATAAACAGCACAAGGGGCATTCGACATCATTGAAGAAATCATGAATGGAGCAATGTCCTGGGCCATATTAGAGGAGAATTTAATCTTATCACTAACATACAGTAACTTGAAGCCAGCATTTGATTTTGGAACACAGTCGATCAAATATTCAGAGATGCCAGAGATAATGTTTAGTAATCCTGCAGTTGATGATTTGAAACAGAGCCAATCACATATTCAATGGAAATGCTACAGCCATTAAGGGCTTTAAAACCCAACTAGAGGATTTTAATCAATAGACTTTGTCTTTCTAGTGTCTGTAAGGACTGTAAGGAAATTTCCTGTGTAAGAGCTGCAACTTTAGTGCAGTAGTAGTAGTAGTAGTAGTAGAAGACAGTCACAGCTGCTTGCTTTTGACAGGCCTGATGATATTTTCTGCACGTATAAAAGATATTTCACTTTTATATTTGTGCAAACTGCAAAAGTTACCGTCCAAATAATCATCATGCAAATTACTTCCTCAGAAAAAAGGTGGTAAAAGCAGCTTTCAGATTACAAATGCACAAGAATTTTGTTTGTACTTTGAGTCAGAGGCAATATAGTGTATATAGAATATAGTATAATTTTATAACTCATTTGATTACATATACTATATGGCCAAAAGTATGTGCACACCTGACCCTCACACCCACACGTGCTTGTTGAACATCTCATTCTAGATTTATTCCCCCATTGCTGTTATAATAACCTCCACTCTTCTTCTGGGAAGGCTTTCCACTAGATTTTGGAGCGTGGCTGTGGGGATTTGTGTTCATTCAGCCACAAGAGCATTAGTGAGAACAGGCACTGATGTTGTGTGAGGAGGCCTGGGGTGCAGTCTGTGTTCCAGTTCATCCCAAATGTGTTCAGTGGGGTTGAGGTTAGGGCTCTGTGTAGGCCACTCGAGTTCTTCCACTCCAACCTTCACACACCACGTCTTCACGGAGCTCACTTTGTGCAGAGAGGCATTGTCATGCTGGAACAGGTTTGGGCCTCTTAGTTCCAGTGAAGGGAAATTGTAATATTACAGCATACAGAGACATTCTGTACAGTTATGCGCTTTCAATGGTGCAGTAACAGTTTGGAGAAAAAATACAGATGGCTGTAATGGTCAAGTGTGAACAAACTTTCGGCCATACACTGTGGTGTACATTTCATCCCAATTGAAAATGTTGGGATGAACTGTCAAAAATGTTGATGTGCAAAGATTCTATTGTGTACTGTGGGAAAAGAGGTTTGGGGGCTTTTTCTGCAGTATAAAGACACTCCGGGAAGCATTCTTTGCTATCGTCTTCCACCAAAACCAAAATTAAGCTAATGGCTGAGTTTCAAATGCAGAACAAGAAAACTTCCAGGGGTTTTAGGGAAGCTTTTATTGTAGCAGACCTCTCCTCAAACCACAGGAAGACCCATATAAGCCATATGGCCATATTTTGGCCATATAGTGTAACTGGATCTGAAGGGAAGTTTTGGACAAACTTGAAATTTCCACAATTTCTTGCACTTAAAAGTAGTCAATTCACCAAGACATTAAGTTTTCTTTAAAAAAAAGTTTCATTATTTATTGTTTTTCAGTGTTTGCACTGAAACAATACAGTGCTGATTTAACCATATCAGTCACTAATAGTGAGTAATCCTTTTTACACCACAGCACTGTTGAATTCTCTAATCACATTGGTCAGAAGGTATTGATTAATTTTCTATAACAGCAGCTCTGACAGTAGTTTCAGCTGCATATCACAGCTTTATATTAATGCACTTATTCTGATACATGATCATTTCTGTAGTAACAGGGACAGGCAGATGCTCCACATAAACAGATTGAATAAAATGTGTATTTGTTGATATGGTGAAGTTTTCTGTGAACAGATGTTTATTTAATATTTATGGAAGGAGTCTCCAGTGTCAGAGCTTTGCCACAATCAGAGGTTTGGGAAAACTTTAAGCTTTCCTATAACAGCACACCCCCAGGTTTTTTATTCCTTACATAGATCATGTGCAATACTTCAGTTGTTTTTGTTCTTCTTCTTTCGGCTGCTCCTGTTGGGGGGTCACCACAGTGAATCATTGTTTGGCATATTTTGATTTGGCACAGTTTTTACACCGGATGACCTTCCTGATGAAACCCTCCCCAATTTTTTGCTTGAGACCAGCACTGTCGTGTGCAACCCCAGCGGCTGGGGTCGGTTCTCTAGCAGGGAATCAAAACCTGGCCACGGCGGTGAACTCACTGTGGCCTAACCACTAGTCTTCGAGGA